CTTCAATAAACGTTTTGGACAGGAAATCAGTGAAGCTATCCGCGGTTAACTGAGCATCAACTATAGGATTTCCGAGATCGTCTCGAAGGATGGGATACTGCGTCTTTGTCTGAGTTCGTATTTTTCTAGAGAAAAGTTTCGAGACACTTAACGAATGGTTTTCGGTAAAGTGGACCTCTTCGGCTAGCTGTTTTTCTTCAGACAATCTCTTAGCTCGATCAAAAATATCCCAAATCAAGGGCAGGACAGAATCGTCGTTCTGAAGATGGAATCGACGATAAAGTCTGTGCAATCTGCGATGAAAGTGTAAGGGTAGGAAAACCTCATCCCCAACATTAATAATTTTCTTACCGGGGACAAAACGAGAAATAAACGGATCCAAAATTTCGTACAGATTTGCAGTGCAAACATTTACATCCGAACTAAGGATGAAATCACTCCAATCGTAGGAATTAAGTTGTGCTAATAATTCGGTTGAGCGAGTTGATCGGAAATCGCGGAAGAAGTTATACTTTTGGGATGATGTTTTGTTAGCCTCGAATTCCAACGTTGAAACAACTATATCGTGGTCTGAGCCACCGAGTGGGCCTAGGAATGACACTGACGATGGCATGCAGCCTCTACAGAAAATTAAGTCAAGTATACTTGAGCCTCGGGTGGGAAAATGGACAACCTGATTCCACATCCCAAAATCCACAGCCTCAAGAAAGTCATCGAACCTTCTGGGGCCTGAAGGCGGAGACCAGCGGACTTCAGGGAGATTAAAGTCACCCGCAAGCACTTGATACTTAAAGCTTAAGTCGGCCGCAGCATGAAATGCCTGTGAGAGTAAACGATTAAAATTGTCGTTGGCGTTGAAAGGGCGATAGACGCAGCCAATGAGTAAGGAGAACTTATTTTTAGTGCAATCAAGGAGCCAGCAGCTGCCTTCTACTGCGGAAAAATGCGGGAGGTCAAGCGGCAAAAATGTAAGTGTTTGCTTAACGTAGACGCAGCTGCCCGACCACGCCTATCTTGGCGATCATTTCGAATGCAATTATATCCTAGAAGATAGAGTTCATAGTCAGCTACTGAGGCTGATGCCCACGTCTCAGTTACTAAAACAATATCAGGACAATGGACGAACACCTGAGTCTGAAGCAAAGGCATCTTATAAAGCAAGGATCTGGCATTTAAAACAAAAAGTTTGAAGGGAAAGGCTGTCAGTTTTTGAGGGAGGTGGGCTACATCGTCCAGTTCTGGGTCGCCCACGGAGCAAACGGTCCGGATGCAACCAACCGGTTCTGCAAAAAATTTTGTGGCATCAAAAAATTCTGACGTGGATAAAAAGGGGTAGGACTTGTGGGGGGGAATGACGGGCAGGTAAACTTGTAACCATTGTTAGTTAACTTATTTTCAGCTGGAAATCCACGGGGCAGATACTGCAACGTATTCCCGCCGGGACGAAACTGAGGATCGGATGAGTTAACTGATCTAGTATGGACATTAACATGAGGAAAACATTGGTTAAACGGCCGTGGAGGAAACAAGTTAGGGGGTGGGGGACGCATTGCTTCCATTGGAACAAGAGGTCTATTAAACGGTGGGAAAATCGGCATATTTGGCCTAACTGCCTCAATATGAGGGCTGGGGGACAGTTGCGAACCCGCTACGTTTTGAGTCGGGGTATTTGAGGCACTGTTAGCCGATTGTGTAGGAAAAGATTTTATAATGGTGCTAGATTTATTGGGTGTCCGAGTGGCTGAGACAGCAATTGGATTTGCCTTTGACTTAGACACATGCTTAGGCTTACTAGGGGTTGCTGGCGGAGTCGATAGAGGCGTGTTTATACCAGGCGTGCTGCTGTTTCTAAAGATCTCAGCATTAAGAGTAGTCGAATTCCCTACGGAATTGACTATACCGTGACGTGCAGCGGCCGCATATAGTGTTGTAGAGGACTTATTCAAACTGACAGTAAGTGTCATCATTTTCGATAGCTTGACGGGACCTCTTAAATCACTCTGAAGGTCTATCTGGCGTCTACACGGTGGTCTGTGTCTACCGTGTGCGCGAGGATCGAGCTACTAATGTTCGTTGCTTAACCCCTTCCTGACCTAGCTGGAAGATGCTCTTTTATTCTTTTGGATAGACGCCGGCTCTTGCGACCAATATATTCTGTCCCACAGGAGCCGGTGCAGGAGTAATTACGCATAGAGGTAGTCTGAGCTGGTAGTTTGTCCTCGCCCTCTCCGTATAGAATGGGACTAATAGAGAACGGTAGACGGATGTCAGCTGCTGGAAAGGTCTGTGATACAGCTTGAGTTAGCGTATCTTTTAATCCATTACTTAATATAAATGAACAAGCCTGAAGAGAATTTATCGAAGGCAGGCCTATACTCGCTAAATTGCCTTTTAAACTTTTCAAAGGAAATTTTCGAAACCCTAGAACAGTCCAAATATCATGATATTTTGACTTAACAAGGACCTTAGAGTTTCCACTGATATGCTTTTTCTGGATAAATGTTTGTCCTCCAGGAGTTTTTCATGATTCTCTGGAGATTTGTAGTGTTAACGTACTCCGTACTGTGAGACTGTCTTGCTGACTGGTGACCCATGCCAACCTTATTATCCATTTTTAACAGTCTTGGCAGGCAATTTATTAAGTCAGTTTATTAAGGGAAAACGGCTTTTGCCTTTGAGCTCCCTATTCATATCGATAAACAGAACTAGAATCAATAATTACACCAGCAAATTCGGAAATTAAAAAGTTAGCGATAAGTTTGAGCCAGCCGCAAACTGCCGCCGCTAAAACAATCGTGATTACATGTACAGTAGACTCTCAGCAAATGAGCAACTAGTCTACACATAAAGTATTCGACAGTTTCGGAAAAAACCACCGCATCAGGGAGTCCGTTCCATGCCCCAATGACCCTGTGAGAGATCGCGTTCCGTCGGACGTCCGAATGAGACAGCTTCCTGTGCAATTTGATGGGATGACCACGCAGATGGTCGCATCTCCCCCCATGTTCGGATGGACTCGGTTGAATGAAACTGACCGCATCTGGGTTCCTATCAGCTTGAGACTGGTTTTCAATTTCGGCA